GGGAATTCTGGGAGTTGAAGTCCACCCATCTTAAAGTTGCCAAGGTTGAGAAACACTGATACATTGGATACTGCATTGAGAAAAGAGGGGTGCAGAAAAAATTATGGGGGGAGAAGAGAGAAACGTCGTGTTCTCCTGAATACTTCTGCTAATCGAAATATTTTTAATGTTCCTCCCAAATCAGGACATGCTTTGCAGATGGGGGTGAAATTTAGCAGCTACGTTCATCCTAACGGGGCACAAAAGCCTTTGGGTTCAGGTTTCTCCTCTTCTGAATGGAACGGTGGAACGGGGAGGGTCCCACCCTTCAAGGCGCCTTACACGACAGGGAAAGGAAGGGCTTATGGGGCAGGGAATCCCTTGTCCAGTTACAGCTGGCTCCCCGTTCCAGTCTGGAAAATATCGCGGCTTCTTTGGGTCCCAAGTTAGGCACCGCTTAGATTTTCTGTTGATGATGAAGCATTTCCCATAAATAGTGAAAACCTTTGGCTTGCTGAGACGCATCAACTCCGAGTTTTCTGATCAAGGGCTGTGGACCAAACTCCCTAAATGAAATCATCTCTGGCAAAGTTTTACTTGTCAACACCCAACTGGGTGGTTTTGCTTTCTCCTTGACAGCCAAGTTGCCGTCAGCTGTATTTTCCTCCCCTCAAAGGAGCATTGCCTGTTGTTGTTCAAGATGTATATTTTAACCTGATTGTTGTAGAATTGCAGGACACCGGGGTTGCTAAGCAAAGGCTGGGAAAAATAGGAAAGTATTATGAATGACCAGCTGATGCTCAAATCTAACCATTTTGATGGGGTTGTTTGCCCTCCGGGAAGGTTGCCCAATTTGAATTGAGAGGTTAAAAAGAAGAGCAACAACTTTGCTTATAACATAGGTAGAAAAGGAAGCAGGGTTTTGACTGCGTGGCTGTGGCTCCCATCTTGACTTTTTTGACTCCCATAAATGGTCCTGCTCAGTGCTGTAGGTCCATATCGTTCACTTACTTTGTGGCTTAGTGTGATAGGTGAACGAGACTGAGGGTATCCTGTTTATTTGACTCAGTAGAATTAAAGTGGTTGGGGAATAGTTTTGCCCTAAGGCTGATTTGTACGGCGTGGTCAACTAACATGGCTTGCTTTGTTGACAATCAGTATTGTGGAACGTGAATCATGGTTCAGGGCGTGAGCATGAGTGCTAAACCCAGGTTTTGCAGGATCAGCGAATTCTGCCCAAGTCTGGATCCAACCTGTTCCTGTTAGAAAAGGCAAGACTTTTCTTGGGGTTTGCCGTCCAGCAGGACGTGTAAAAACTATCGCTGCTCAGCCTGAGAAATGTTTAGAAACCGGGCTTTTGGTGAAAGGCCACCAGCTTCGCTGCAGATCTCAGCGTCTGCTTCTGAAGAGGGGACGCTGAGCAATGCTTTGCCTGCCTGGTTCATCCTGTTCCCAGTTTTTGGGCAGATTTCCCAGCAAGAAGTCTTTTGACCTCCTCCCTAGTATTTTTCAGGGGAATTCAAGCATGGAAGAGCTTGCATTTAAAAATGGGGCTTATCAGGGCAGCCTTAAGAAAGCCCACGGCCCGGCCTTAGTGGGCTGAATCCTTTCAGCTTATCAGGGAAGGGAAGATGGCTGGATTAAGTCCCGTTCAAAACTCCCTGTCTGTGAAGAGCTAGCATTCTCCCTGATGCACTAGTTTTCTAAGTGCAGGGAGGCTAAACTTGCAGTCCTTCTACCTCCTGCCCCAGCCTTTCCCGACCAGATATCCCCAAAGCTGTTTCGGCCAACAGCTTCTGGGTTCCTCAGAGAACAGGATGATGGATTTGCTGCCCAACAGATCTACAGGATACAGTTGGGAAAGGCTGCTCTGTAGAATCCTGATCATGATAGCTGGGCATGATGGGAGCTGTAGTTGTAAGAAATGCATATACAACTTTGTAATATGAGGGGCAAATTATTCGGGAGCTGGGTTTCCTGTATAAAATAAATCACGTAGCACTGAAGCCACGGGTGGTGGAGGTTCATGACTGAAGTCTTCATCATTTGAAAAAAAAATTTAAATGTCCCCACAAGTAGAGATCTAGCACATTGGGAAGCCTAGAGCATTTGTGATATACAGGTAGTCCTTGTTTAGTGACCACAATTGAGATCAGCAACTCAATCGTTAAGCAAAGCGGTCACTTAATGAAACATGATATTACAATCTTCCTTCAGCTTTCCTTTGTTTTACAGACCTATGAAGGTCGTAAATGCAAGGATTGGTGGCAAAGTTACATTTTCATCACTGTCGTAACTGCAAACAGTCGCTAAACAAGGCAATCCCTGAACAAGGACTACCCATACTCCATTCTAGAGAAGGGGAAATGCTTGTACAAACATAAAAATGTACAGGTTGTTGGTCCCAACTTGTATTGCAAAAAGGTCATCTCAGCATCTTGGTCATAGATAACCTAACCAGCCACGCTGGCTGGGAATTCTGGGAGTTGTAGTCTGGGAATTCTAGGAAGTCGTACTGTGGGAATTCTGGGAGCCATGGCTTTGGGAATTCTCAGAGTTGTAGTCTGGGAATTCTGGGCATGTAATCTGGGGATTCTAGGAGTCATGCTCTGGGAATTTTGGGAGTTGTCATCTGGGAATTCTGGGCATCATAGTCTGGAGAGCTCAGCTTAAGGCAAAACATTTGAACTTTGGAGAGCGGGACTTGAGCCCTGAGTGTCTGCCTTCTCTGCCCCGCAGGCCCAGCTGTGCCGCGCGCTGTACGATAACACTGCCGAGTGTCCGGACGAACTCTCGTTCCACAAGGGAGACCTGATGGTCCTCCTCCAGCCCGAAGGGACAGGCCTGGAGGGTTGGCACTTTTGTTCATTGCACGGCCAGCAAGGGATCGTGCCCGCCAACAGGGTCAGGGTCCTCCCTGAGTCGGGATCCCCTGGGCCAGCCGCTCACCCGAATCACACCCCAGCAGAGGTCTACCAGGTGCCGAAGAATGAGGGTCTTCTGGTCGGAAGGATCTCTGAGGGGCCCGTGGAGGAGTGGAAAAAAAGAGACCAGGGGAAAGAAGAACAAGAGGTGAGAGGGGTGCTCTGTCATGCTTGTTTCTCTCCATGTTGTTGCCTTGCTTCCTAATGTCCCCAGAGACCACTCTTCCATCTTTTCCAACTTCTACCCAAGCCAAGAAGCCTGAACATCTCCTCTTCCACCAGAGCAGCGTTTAGCAGCCTGCTGTGTTCCACATGTGTTGAGATCCCCCTCCATTTTGGCTGGGCATGGGTGATGGGATTTGTACTCCACCATATCTACAAGGCCCCAGGCTGGAGAAGGATGCCTGGTAGAACAAATGTTCAGGAGGAACCTGTGGTTCTTCTAAACTCTCTAAGCTGCTTACCCAAAACTTCCTTGCTTTTGCCGTCCAGTTTGATGGGTTGGGTTGGTTCACCCAACCCACCAAGATGCAAGCTGGTTCTCCCCACCACACCAAACCAGAAACTGTCCGTCCCTTTTTGGCCCAGACTGGCATGTTGGCCAAACCCAGCTGAGATGTGGCTTGGTGCCCCGGGAACCTGCTGACTTCTCTTGGAATCCTGACCTCCAGGTCTGATTTCTCCTTGTTCTTGTCCTTTTCTCCCACCCCAGGTGTATGAGGTACCACCACCTGCACGGCCCTGCCCGCTGCCCCCAGAGGGGATCTACAGGGTGCCTCGGGGTACCCGAAGGGAAGAAGATCCCACAGAGGTGCGATTGAGTCAAGAAAAGGTGACCAGCTGCAGAGGTCACCTGCAGAGCTTGATGGCTGGGGATCGATTTAATCCCAGATTTCACTCCCTCCCTGTTGCCTTATGCAAATCGGTCCAAGATTTATAAATGCCAAAAGTTCCATTTTCAGTTAGAAGGAAGAGGTCCAACGTTTGTTGTTACTTCCAGAGATGTGAAACAAGTTTTTATATGAAGGATGGATGGATGGATGGATGGATGGATGGATGGATGGATGGATGGATGGATGGATATAGAGATAGATGATTG